CTTACGGGCTGCGTCCGCCACAGACCCACGGCTGGGCTGGGGAAAAGGGGAGGCAGGGCGGGGGCACGAGAGGGTCTGGAGCGGCGAGCTGGCTGGGTGCAAGACGTCGCTGCCGCCGGACGGGGAACGAAGGCCTCGGGAGGGCCTCAGGAGCTCGCCGTTTCTGGCTCGGGGTGGCGGGGATCAGGGTCAGGTGAGCGCGCTCACTTCACACAGCCCGGTGCCCCGGCCCAGCGTCCCCGTACTGCGCCCACTCCGCGCCGGGCCAGAGCTTCGCTCCTTCTGCCGCGGCGCGCGCCCCGCCTCTCGTTTTATATTCTCCTCCCTGCCCCCCATCCCCTCCGTGGGGGTGCGCGCGCCCGTCCGCGTCACACAACTCGGGGCGGCGTAACCATTCCCCGCCCTCTGCTCCCCGCACTCCGGACCCTAGTTGCTGGTTCCGCCCCTGCCCAGCCCCCCGACGCCATTGGCCAAGTCCCGCCTGCCCTGGTCCTGACGGGCGGTAGACGACCGGGGTGGGGAAGGCCACACCCCCTGTATCCGAGATGGCCAATGAGCCCACGACCTGGAGAGAGCGTGGGCGGGATTAAGAGAAAATTTGGAAAGGGATTGGAGGAGAGACGCGCCAATGCAGGTGAAAGGGGTGGGGCGGGGCTCTGACGCTCCGTGAGGCGGTGAGCGCCGGGGAGAAGGGGGAGGGGAGTGGAGCAGGTGGCGGAGCGGCGGGGGAGAGCTCAAGTCCTGGAGCGGGAGGGGAGAGTGTACACAAAAATGCCCTATCCGAGTAGGACTGTGCCCAGGAAAATCCCACTCGTGGACGGGCTACCAAGTCGGACTCCAGCCCACCCCAGCGGAGTCTAGAGAAAAGGCAAACTGTGACTGAGAAGCGTGCACCCGATTCATTGAATATTAATCCCTGCAGGGCCTAGGCCAACTGCCGTAGAGGGGCAACTGCAGAACCCAAAGCTGCCGGGCCGGGCTGGGGGTGGGGAAGGGAGGCCACCTCGCCGCTCCTCCCGCCCAGGTGACAGTTTAACTGCCTCCGCAGTGCCACCTCAGACCTCCCCGTGCGACCCGGCGGCAGCTCGGAGATGGGGGTGGCTTGAAAGTGTAAGAAGAATCACGTTTTGTTCCAAATGTCCCAGCCCAGGCCTCCGGGCCCAGGGTGTGGCAACACGATGCCAAATTGCGTATGTATGTCGGGGGGGGGGACTATATAAATATAAATATACCTATTCATTTCCAGGGCTTTAACACAGATGCACAGAATAAACACTGTGCCTTCCTGTGATGCGCGTGTAAAGATAATTTTCGGCTGAACCATGTGCGGGTGTCTAGGGAATGGGGGAAAAGGAGACTCAAGCGCGGCGGGGGGGGGGGCTTTTTTCCACAACCTGCAGCCGAGAAATTCACGAAGTTACATTGGGAGTGGAATGGGGCGTCCCCCTCGGCTAAAAATATTACTCAGAGGTAGCAACGACGCCTGATTGGCCGCCCGGGTCCCTTAGCAACCAGGCGATTGGCTGCCTGGTTTCTAGGAGACGGACGTCAAACTCGGACTGGGAAAAGGGGAGAGAAAGTCTAGGGGGGTGCCAAGGAGGAAAGGGGGAGAAAGAGAAGCAATGAATGAAACGCCCATCGCCTGGCCTTCCCTTTTTCCCCGTCCTCTGCACTTACGGAGCGCTTCCTGGAAAAACACAAGTTGGGGTGCCGCCTTCCCCTTAAAACTGCGGGGCCTGCCTTCTTAATCTGCTTGTAAGGAAGTTGAACCGCAACTCACCGTGGAGTGGGGTGTCCGCGGGCGGGCCTGTGTAGACCAGCTGGGCTCCTCGGGCACAAACCCGCTTTATGCGTCGGGCCTAAAAGGCTTTTCATCTAATGTACGCAAAACCTGGATGTACCCTTCTCCACTCCGACTGACTCTCTCGTGCCCTCTCGCCTCCCCTCTTAGAGGAAACCACGCTGAGAAAGGATATTTCTAAAGTCTCAGTGCATGTGAGGAGGGAGGGAAGATGGATTTGTGGAGTGGACAGAGGGTGGGGAGGGGTCTCTTAAAATTCAGTGTTGTGTTTTTTTTTTTTTTTTTTGGAGGGGGGGCAGGGGCAAGAACATAGAAGCTTTACTCAGTGTCTCTAAATTCTGATATATTTTTAATGTTTGGGGCTTTTAATTGTAGACAGAAAGTGGAATCGAATTGTGAAAATATGGCAAGCGTTTTAAGTTAAAATGCTCTTTCCCCAGCCCCGAAATATTTTATAATGTAAATTATTCGCTCAGTGTTTTCTTCTTTTCGTTCATTGATACGTTATTTGGTTTCCTACAATGAACATTAATTCTATTTGCAATAAAAGTGAGTCATTTTTAATTTTATAATTAGTTGTGCACAAAAAAATTGCAAGAAACTAGGTAAGATATTTTGAGAATGGCTTACCAAGAGAAACCCCTTGATTTTTTCGCGTGCCCCAGAAGCATAATTTCTTAACATTAAGCAAATAACGTTACTGTACCCAACATTCTGAATTGTAGGACCATGTGTTGGGCCATGTGTCTGGATTTGTTATTTAGAAAATACATCACTATAATTAGGGAGCATATTAGGCTTGGCTGAGATTAAAATGTCTAACTGAAAATAGATGAATCATAATTTTAAGCTTATCTATACTTTTCAAGAATTCTCTAAAAGAAAGGCACAGGTTTTCTTTTCTGAATGTCTTCAATCTATAATCCCAGGTATAAAATACTAGAGCAGCCATTGGGTACTGATTAAATATCAATAGCAGTAAATTGAATTTCTGAGTCATAAATTTAGATGTCAAAAGTATATGAATTATTGTGGCTTAGTTCAGGGGTATAAGAGGTTATCAAGCCAATATAAATATAAACACACACCTTCCCCACACATTAAGGCCCTGTGGCATTCTGGAAAAAAATACTGAAGTGTAGGTATTGGGAAATTTGAGTATCACATCAGTTTCTATCAATGTTTAGTTTTCTCATGTATAAAAAATTGAATTAGATAATTTCTAACATCAATTTACTTTTTTAATCCACATTTAAACTAAGAATATATTTCTTTTTCAAAAATGGATTGCAAATAAAAAAAGGAAACAGTTTCCTGTTTTTTGAACATTATAAGTCATGAGACATACAAGTTTTTTTTTATACAAGTTTTGAACTTCAAATAACCCCTAATATAGCTAATACCTATTTAATAATTTACTTTGGAATTGTGCAGGGGAGTCGACTGTTAAATGATTATTTAGATTTATAGAGAAAAAAGCATTTGATATTAGACTCTAAGTAGTATCAAAATCAAGAGATATTGCCTTTTCTGAGCAAATGGTGATCACTAGAAATCACAATCCTTCTTTTCAAATCCCACAGGAATCCTAGAGGTACCTTACAAAAAGATTAGAATTGTTTGGGAAACAAATTCCAATATCATTGTAAAACACAGTTCTTGAAAGCACCTTTATTTACACACAATACACCCCCCTTCTTTAATTCTGAGAGACATCTGCCCTATATTTTCTACTTCTCATTCTGTTTCTTTGTCAGCTGAGATGGGCTTACAGGAGAATGGCCATACAAGTATAAACATGGTGTGTATTTACTAAGACTCATTTTAGTTCTAGAGAACCTACCTTTACCTTTATTTGGAAATAATCCCCTACACAAATGTAATATTGTTATTCATTTCTTTGTAGATAGTCATGCAACACAAACCATAGCATTTAAATTAATAAAAAATTATAAACTAACCATTGAGTTATTAAAAATCAAATAAACAATTTCTTTCCTAATCATTTCTCAAAGGAAAGCAATATACTTGTCTAAAGAAACCTCAGTGTGGTTTCCTGTGGCTTCTACTGAAGTCTGTAGAAGAGCGTCATACGTTCCTCAGAACAGACTGTTGCACAGATCTGTGCAATTAAAGATAACTAGATAACATTCAACAAATCCATTTATCTTTGGAACAAGCAATTAAACTGAAGGAACTTGGTCTGAAAGGAAAATGTCTTCTTAAAACTCATTCACTCCCTGTTATCATGATGAACAAAAGTCCAACTGAAATCTTGAAGTTACTTTCCATTAGCCAAGAATGAGGATTTTGATTTTAGCAAGAGATTATAGTGCAGATTCTAGAAATGATACAGTGTTCACAACATTCTAAGTACAAAGAACATTTATTTAAAGTCCTCTGTGAGTGAATGTTATTAGAGTACTTTAAATACATTTAAAACATGGTTTGCATATGTTAATATGCAGCTCTGCTTACCAAAATAGAATAGTTATATATATATATTAGAATATAGTTAAATATATATAACCAATTATGGCAGATACTTGCTAACTTACCATTTTCCCATGCTCCCATCCACTTCCCCTTGTCTTCCTGATTAAAGAGGCTATAAGAGCTAAGTGTGCTTTCCTAGGTTTCATTGTGTAGGGGTGGCATTGTGACACTGTTCTACCAATGACACATAATAGAAGTCAGTTGGAATGGTTTTAGAGAAAGCTTTGCTTTTCTTATCAAAGTGGTTTGCACCAGTTGTTATTACTGCATAACAAGCTATCCCAGATACTCCTTTTATTATGCTCTTGGATCCTGGAGGGTAGGAATTCAGACAGGGGACCTGGGAATTCGTGGCTTGTCTCCACTCCACAATGTCTGGAACTTCAGCTGGGTAGACTCATTTGGAGCAGACCTGTGTAACAGAACTTCCTCCAATGGTGAAATATGCTACATCTGTGCTGCCCAGTGTGCTTGCTACATGTGGCTACTGAGCACTTGAAATGTGGCCAGTATGACTGAGGAACTGAATTTTTAGTGTTTCATTTTAATTAAATTTATCTTTTAATAACCACATGTGGCCAGCAGCTTCTGGAAGGGACAACACAGATCTGGAAGCTTCTTCATGCACATGTCTAGCACCTGGGCTCAGTCGGCACTATTGCCATTGCTAGGAGCAACTGTGCAAGAACTCTGCACTCCTCCTGGGGTTGGGCTTCTCACAGCATAGCCAAGGCAGCTATGAGGAAGGCTTCCAAAGAGGGAGCTTCTAGGAAAGCCACGTGGAAGCTGCATGATCTTTTATGGCCCAGCCTCAGAAGCCACAAAGCACGGCTTCCACCATGCTCTTTTGGGCGAGTGATTACAAGTCAAATCAAGAGGAGAGGACATACTCCTACCTCTTGAGGGGAAATGTCAAAGAGTCTGGGATCATTTTTAAAAATTGCACTGGGGCACTTTCACCTTCTTCCTGCCTTGAACATGAATCTGCTGGCAAGAGCTTCTGAAGCCTTCTTACAAGCATGAAAAAAAAATCAAGTTAATCACAGAGATAGGAGCTCTCATGAATGCAAGTAACTGCCTAGGTCTGGTTTGCTTTTTAAACCACCTTAAGTGTTCTATGACTCCCAACTGAAACTATCCCCAGAAAAAACACCAATTTAACATCTTTTAAGGAAACCTGAACCTGATTCTAAAAAAAAAATTAAAAAATTTTTTTTTCCCAGTATAAAATATCAGCTTTTTTTTCATTATAAAGCCTGGAAATAATTCATTATAAGGCCTGGAAATGAACTCATTATAGAAAGTTTGGAACACACAAACAGGAGTAAAAAGAAAAC